TTTATGTAAAATTTAGATAACTAGTTTCGAAAGTCTTTGCCTAATAAAGTGTGGCTTATAAATGAAGTTCAAAGTCTTTAAAAAGCCATACAATTTGAAGGGCTTATTAATTTACCTTAAGAAGAGTTTCAGTTTTTTACCTAATTTTAGGGCTCTTGATACTTCTTTAGATTGACCTAAACTATGGGTTTTTTTCAAAGATTTCAACAGGAAATTGAAGAACTGAAAAAAAGAAGAATGAAAATTATAATGATATAGATTATCCAAATTATATTATCATCAAGAATTTATAATCAAAAAAATTATTATGATTATGATATATCAATTGATTAATTTGTTGGGTGCAAATGCATTTGCATATCAATCTCACAAGGATTATATGTTAAACTGAATTTTAGGTGCACCTATTATATTTATTAGGTGAAGAGACTTAATTAGTTTGTAAGATTTGGTATATCTAAGCCATTTATCATCTTTATTTTAATTGATCTATATTATGAACTATCTCAAGCAATTTTTATGAAGCTTTTGTCTGTAATTTAATAAACCTTTCATATATAAAAATTTTTTTTCTAATCAAGACTATCAATATCATATATTTAAAAGATGGGGCCTTTGATAAAGCAGTTTATTACCTTTATCTTCCATCAATATTTATAAAAGAATTAAGTATCTATTATTCATTATTTAGATATCAATTACTGATCGACTCCAGTAAGATAGATGTACCAGAATCGCTCATAGCTTATTTCTAAAAAGTATAACTAATTAATCTATCTATACTGCTAAAAGCATTATTCTTTTTAGAATCTAGTACAATCAACTTATTTATATCATTCACTGCTTCTTAATACCATTTTAATTTAGTAATTAAGTAAGTAATAATATTTATTGCGATAAGAAGGGGCATTGACACATTGAGGATCAATTTAACAGCTTTTAATAATAAAAAAAACGCTTTCTATTAAAAATGGATGCTTCAAACAATTAGATTAAATATCATAAAATAGTAGGTGTCACTATATACTGATCAATGTTAATAACCTGCTTATAGCTTAAAAATGCAATCTCTCCTTGCCCAATTCTTATGGCAAAAATATTTTATAACAATTGTATTTTGAACGAATTATATCAAGAATGGTTTTTGAAGATCTATACATTTGGTTTTTTTAAATGAATTTTTCTTTTAATTTCAATTAGTCTTAGTTAAAATTGAATAAATCTATAATAATGATAATTGATTAATAAACAATTAATCTGATATTTAATCTTAATATTCTTATGAGCTTTCTAAATAAGTAAATTAAATATAGAATAAAAGAAAGAAGGAGCATATATATACAGATATTTAAATTTTATATAAGATAAGAACTCTGATTAATAAAATAAATTTTTGGCCTAGAAAAAAGTAACTATATATACAATATTTTTATTTTGTTTATTATTTTATATATTATTTAAAAAGCACTTTTAGTTGTGTCTTATTTTTGCAAATTTCTTTTTTTCTTCTTTTTTTCATGAAAGCTGTTTTTATTTATGCTTTGGTACATAAATATATTACTCTAATTCTTTTTGAGTAAAGACTCTCATGTGATATTTTCTGGATTTTCAGCCCATTATTTATCT